CGATATATGTTCTTGATAAAGATGATGATTCAAGCAAGCCCAAGATGATTCCTGAAGACTAGATAAAGTCTTAGAATACTGGATATGGAGGTACAAGTTGATGAAGTAATATTATGCATAAGCCTCCAAAGCACAAGTGTGATAAAATTCATAACATGATATTTTTCTCTGTCATAATTAATTATGATGCATCAGAAATGGAAAAATGATTTTCTCTATCATAATTAATTATACTGGTAATATAATCAATTATGGCAATTCAAATTTGAAAAATATATCCGTTTTAAAGAATAAATGTTTTTTAATACATCCTGATTTTCTCTATGATATTATTAATGTCCAACGACCATTTTCTGATGCTATTTTTTTATTTAATTAAGTTTTGATGAAAAATAAAAAAGACACAATTATAGAATTCGAAAATACAATTTACATTCAATTAGTTTTGAGAAAGAATTCTGAGCAAGACAACTGAGATATTTTACACCTTTTGAGAAAATCCTCTTCTTTACTGCCTTTTATGCTTTCATTGTTAATCACACTTGTTCTTAGAGATTGACATTCTACAGGCTTCTACAATTTGTTGTATCCATTACTCAGGTGTGTTGTTCTTATTTTTATTACCTTCATCCTTTTTGCATTGGTGGAAAAGAAGATGTTTTTCATCCCTAGTGTGACTCTAGGGAGGGGTTCATCCTTAGTGGGATTCTAAGGAGGTGTTTTTCATCCTTTGATTTGTTCAGAGGAGGTGTTCATCCCTAGTGGGATTCTAGGGAGGTGTTCATCCTTAGTGGGTTTCTAAGGAGGTGATTGTCTTTTTAATTAGTTTACTTTTTACCGGTTATTCTGCTGAGTTGATTGTAATTTGTAAACTGAATTTGAAAGATAGTGAATGGGGAGTCACTCTTGTGTTAAGAGTTGACTGGGAACTGGATGTAGGGTTGGTTATACCCGAACCAATATAAATCTTTGTGTGCTCTTCTCTTTCCCTTATCTCTTTCTCTTTTCCTGATTATATTATTGCTTCCGCTTTAACAAATTATTGACTCACAAATAAATTTTTAATTTGACATCTATTTTAATTTGTGCATCTATTCACCCCCTCTAGATGTCATTTGTCTAACAGTCAGGAACCGTGGCTTTGAATTAAGTCGGTGGTAAATTTGAATTAAGTTGGTGAAATAAGGCAGTGGAGAATATAATTAAAGAAAATTTGAGAAGGAGTATAAGTCGACAAGTTAAGTGTATAAATAGGAGGAAATTTGAAACTTACACCAACACACAATTCACGCAACTTGAAGAATAAACAAAGAGGCATCATAATTCTTAGAAGAAGAATTCGAGAAAGGAAGAAAGGGAGAGCATAAGAAATTAGGAGAGTGATAAGATTTTGAAGGAATCAAGTATGAGTTAGATGTTTAATTTTATCATACGAATGTCTGATTTTTAAGATAATTGATAATTGCTTCCTATTTTGCAAATTTTGAAATGTTGATGAAATTCTTGAAATTAAGGATGAATTAGATGGTAAAATTTTTGTTTTTGAATCAAATAGGATAGGTTTCATGTTTAATTTGAGTATGGAATTAGTTTGATTGATTGATACGTGAGAATTTGAAATCTGGAGAAACTGAATTTGGTTACTGGGCGAAGACTAAAGAAAAGGGATATGGTGGGAATTTTTGAAAAAGATTAATTTTTGAAATTAAGGATAAATTATATACTAAAATTGTTATTTTTAACTTAAATTGAATATGTTTAGGGTTTAATTTGGATTTGGAACTAGTTTGGTTGTCTAAAATTGGAAAATTTAGAATTTGGAATGTTGGAAATGGCGTACTGGAAGTGAGGAAGAAGAAAGGGACAAGGTGAAAATTTTTGTAAAAGATCAAAGGCAAATTAGTCATTTTACATCTTAGGGAAATAAATGGAATTTTGAAAAAGATTAAGGGTATAATGGTAATTTAATAGTGATTTTAGAACATGGATGAAATAATAAGAAATGTTCAAGGGTAAAATAATCATTTTCAGGACATGGATGGAATAATAGGAAATGTTCAAGGGTAAAATAGTCATTTTTAGAACATGGATGGAATAATAGGAAATGTTTAAGGGTAAAATAGTCATTTTCAGGACATAGATGGAATAATAGGAAATGTTCAAGGGTAAAATGGTCATTTTACAACCTAGGGACATAAATGAAATTTTGAAAAAGATTAAGGGTATAATGTAATTTAATAGTGATTTCAGGACATGGTTGAAATAATAGGAAATGTTCAAGGGTAAAATAGTTATTTTCAGGACATGGATGGAATAATAGGAAATGTTCAAGGGTAAAATAGTCATTTCTAGGACATGGATGGAATAATAAGAAATGTTCAAGGGTAAAATAATCATTTTTAGGTCATGGATGGAATAATAGGAAATGTTCAAGGGTAAAATGGTCATTTTTAGGACATGGATGAAATAATAGGAAATGTTCAAGGGTAAAATGGTCATTTTACAATCTAGGGACATAAATGAAATTTTGAAAAAGGTTAAGGGTATAATCGAGATAAAATCAAACAATATATTACCACCTCTTTGTTACTAGGAAAACGACTCAGTAAACGTTCGAATTTGAGGATAGTGCCTTCATCAAAGTTATAGGTTATTGTCTTATCTTTCCTACACAATTGAAATCATCTTAAAAGGAGGTCTAGAACTCGAGATATGGACAAACACTGAACCCTACGAAATAGATTATTAATAGAAATTGTCTTGTTTAAAACAACTATGAATTGTAATTGAAATTTTGAATATATGAATGAGATGTTTCTAAGTACTTAATTGATGATAGGTTGTTTTGTTTCATACAAGACATAAACATAGTGCATGAATTATTTTCTGTATTTGGAAATTATTATTAAGTTGCTATCAAGGACGGTTGGTAGTAACAATGATGTGAAAAATAGAATTTTGAAAATATTTCTGTGAGTTATTTTCTTAAAAATTTACTATCTAGAGCATCTGGTAGCGAAATATGACTACGAAAATAACCGACCAAATGAGACAGAGAATGTATAAGAATGAATGATTGAGAATCAAGCTACCAATATCTCTGATAGTAAATAAGGGAGTAGAATAGGTAAGACAGGACCTTTGGTCTAGGGAGTGTTTGGGCATGGGCAATCCCATAAGTGGTCAGTCTTTATTTGATTCTATGTCGTGGTAGCTTGTCGGTTGCACTCGACACTCTAACTACTCGTCTACTTGTTCACGTTTAGTGAGGCATTGCCGAATCACTGGACAGGGTGATGTTAAGCTCTGGTTCCACTAGACACTCATAAAAGTCTCTATGGAGCACTGAGTCAAAAATGATTTTTTTAGATTTTGAGTCAAAAACATGATTTTCAAGTTTTATGTTTTGAGTCACATGTGCATATCATAAACATATTGTATGATGAAATTGTAGATTATTCATGATTTGTATGATATTCTTTATTATATTTCCATGATTGATTTATTTGTTTCTCATAATTAATTTTCGAATTAAATTATATATGGTTGTATATTTATATGTAGTTATGAACTTATTATGAAGGAATGTTTCATTGTTTGATTTTATCGTATGAATGTTTGTTTTATTTGTTGTGGGTAAAATTAAATGTCTAATCCCATAAATATTTTCAATCACATATGTTGGTGACGTGTGATGCAGGAATGTAGAATTCAAGAGAGAGATGTCAGATGCAAAAAATAAAAAATAAAAAAAATTCAGAGCATAGGTTGGAGATTGTATAATAAATAAGTATGACTTTACGAAGAACTTCACTTAAAATTTTCTATTACTTTGATATATTACTAAATTAGATAAGAAATTAGGATTAATAAATGTAATCTGGAAAGGGGTTACATCCGCGATTTGATATCGTGAAGGAACATGATGAACTCGAACTTGACCGTGTTAAGGTTCAAACATAAAACCAATTGACAATATGTGGAGTAGCATAACATGTATTTAAATCATACAAAATGACATGAAGCAGGTGATATGAGACTTCCAATACATTCCCTCCAACGAAGTCTGTCGGACTAGACAAAGAGTACTTTTGACCCATAACGAAAGGGCAATTATTGACTCATGACAATAATCGAAAGATGTTAGACTTTGGTTCGATACCATAAAAGAATATTTTTCTCAATTGATCTCATTCACTCGACTTGAAATAAATACAATGTACAAGTCGTAATCTTAAGAAACTTATTAGGTAACTAATAATATCAAACATATATTTAGAAAACTAATTATAAACTAAATATATGCTTACATAACAAAATATATTTACATATATCTTAGCATAAAATTCTAGTTCGCCATGGTTTTGTCCTTAAAAGACATTCATCGTGGGGCCAAGCGTAAAGTCTCGCTCTACTCATGAGTCTCACGTTGCTTAGGAGACAAGACTAAAGGTAGTTTATATACATTATCCTCTCTTAACCCACCGAGATGCCTTTTAAGGACAAAATCGTCATAGATGAGAACTCCAAAGCAGATAATACTTCGGATATAAAATTGACCCTAAAAATGCTACCATAGCAGACATGAGAACAGAACACTCTTATTCCTAGACAGAACAATAAAAGTTCCTAAAGCTAGTTAAGAATTGTTGATATATATATATATATATATATATATATATATATATATATATATATATATATATATATATATATATATCTCGCAAAGCTTATGATATCATGTCATGGTGGTGTTAAATTGAAGTGATCAAGGATTAATTTTCAAACAAATTGGAATATTAACTCTGTAATAACAAAAAAGAGAGATCTAATATTGATGTATGATAAATGAAAAACTACTTCTGTCATGACTATCTGCAAACTTACAAAGTCTTAATTTAAATGGAAGTTCAAGATAATGTAGTTGGAACTAGGTTACAGAGTCATACAAGTTCAAAAGATGCAGAACATGAACACATTAAAGGTGTCAAAATAATTTCTTAACCCACAGCCTTTAGAAATATGAGCAACTGAAGGAATATGTAAGAAAACCCTCCAACTGTAGCATGCTGCAACTTCTCTTTTCCTTCTATTGTTGGGAAGTCATTGTCCTTTGAACGATTAAATCCTCCAGCCAACCATCCAAGATTTTTGTAACCTCCATTATACAGTTTTGAAGCTGCTGTCATTGACCTGAATCACTCACCAAAACCACCAAATCAACATTCTCCTTCATTGCCATACTCAACTTGTTCTGCTTGCTTAAATGATTTCATGTTTTTGATTTTGAAAATTGGGAAATATCAGATTATACAACAAAACTAATATAAAGCTTCAAATAAAATTTTCAATGTTAAGAGTTTATTACCTATGATATTAGGTGTGACATATTTATAAGCTTGTACATCTTAATGTTACATATGAAAAACATTCAAGAATGATAAATAGATTCTTTCTGGAGGAGATTTAATTAGATCCACTTTCGCTCATAAGGTCAGGAACAACTTAAGTAAGTGCAAGAAAGGAACCATACATAAACAAGATATATCAAAGATTCTACTTTAAATACAATAATATTATAATATATATTATAAGATAACATTATAATATATATTATAAATATATTAGTAACTACAATTTTCACATTTTCTATTATTATTTTAGACTAAAAAGTTATCATTTTTGTCTAAAAAGTCTCCTTTATCTGATTTCCAATTGGTTGTGGGGAGAAATCTTAACAAAAATAACTACATTTTATAAAAATAAAATTTTCTTCGAATTTACTTACCTCAATCCTTCTCCACATGCCACAAGAACCTTGGTGTCCTTACCAGGAATGGCATTTTCCACTTGACTAAAGAACTCAGAATTCACAGTAGTGAGGTACTGGCCAGTCCACAAGCCAATGTACCCAAAATGCACCCACTTCTTAAGTAAAGTTATAGGACTGTTATCCTTGTCTTCCACAAAGATTGGCACGTGCAGAGACCCTGACACACGTGCCTTTTCTCTCTCCCACATTGGCCTAACATCAAGGAGAATATAGCCCTCTGAGTGTATGGCTGAGGAGGCATCTTTAGGAAATATAGCCCTTACTGTGCCAGACTCTATAAGCTGCCTTGCACTGCTGGTAGAAGATGTTGCATTGATCACTTGAAATCTTGGGGTTCTAGTTGAGGTTCTCAAAGGGGTCTCTGATTGTGTTTTGTGCTTTAGAATTGAAGTTCTGCTCACATGGTTTAACTGGGTTGCCATATTCCTATGTTTCTCTCTCTTTTGTGTTGCTATGGAGGATTTGATTTGACTGGTTTGGGACGATAAAGAAAAATCTGCTAATGACCACCACCATTGGTTCAAATGGTATCTAAGAAGGATAAGATATAGAAAAATCATTATATTATAATGCCAGAAACTATTTATCAAACCTTTGATTTATTTTCTTGCGGTAGGAAATTATACTGACCGAAAAAGTGTCTTAAATGAGGTTATACTGGGCGTTAAGTTTTGTCACAAAGTTATATAAATATAACATTAAATTATAATAATAATAATAATAATAATAATAATAATAATAATAATAATAATAATATTGAAAATTAGTTGGATAAATTGAACGAAGACAAACAGTATGCCTGACATTTTATGAATTATAACAAAATTAGAAATAAGGTCTCCAAAGTATTTTTCAATTGTATACATACCGTATTATTTATTTTTAAAATATATTCTTCAAGTATATAATTAAAGAATTTTTCAATTGTATATATTTTTTTTAAATATATTCATCAAGTATATAATTTAAATATATTGTCTAATTTTCATATATTATTAATTATTGTGTTAAAATAAATTATTAATTTTATGTAATATACATCGTATATATATATATATATATATATATATATATATATATATATATATATATATATATATATATTAATGTATGAGACTATAATTATAGAAGAATTTTTTTTATATAAAAAATTATAATTTAACAAATATGTATAATTAGAATAATTAGGTCTTCGAGGTTTCTCTTGATGAAATTTAAATAATTTATAAATGAATTGACTTCATTTATTTTAATTTTTTAATTCTTTTTACAACCATTAAGTCACACAGAGAGATTATAAATGCATAATATGTTTTATTTCCCTTTGATCATATTAATAAGTGAAAAATGCATTACTAATAAATTTATTTGTTAGTTATGTAAATTTTTTCATAGTGTCTTCATTTATTATTTCTTATTTGTTAATAGTAACAATATTTGTATGATTGTTTACTTATATGTAAACATTAGTGAATAATTAATAAAATTGTTATAATTCTTATATTTTAAAGTAACATGCAAGACTTCTTTAATGATTAGAATCAGAAAATTCGTAACCATAAAGATTAAATCCTAAAAATATCAACATCAAATAATAGTTTTAGCTTGTAAGATGATAATTTAATATTAAGTGGTTACAATATCATTTAACAAGATTATAAGAAGGTTAATAATTAAGAGTAATAAATTTTTAATAAGAGTTTTTTAAAAATAAAATTGAATATTTTGTTATGAATTCTACTTTGAATAATTTAAAATTTAGTTATATAAGTAATTTTTTTAATTTTAAGTAACATTTTCTAAATTAAATATGAAATTTATAATAATTTTTTTTATTTCTAACCAATTTTGATAATAACCCTTTTTCATATGCTCTAATACCTATGATAATAACAACTAACATTAGATAATTCTTTTGATAATAATATTGATTAATTGTAAAATCATATTTTTATTGATTTATATATCATAAGATTTCTAATAAGATGCCATGAATGACAAACGTGCGACAAAAAAATTAATTTTGTCTAGAAATTAAATTGTATTTAAATTTAAAAATGTAAATAAGTTTCATAATCGCCTAAATGCAAGTAAATAAAATTGAAAATATAAAATAATTTAAAATATTGTTCTTACTATTTCACACACAATAAAAAAAAAGTTCAACCATCCTAAAACATTATCATAGAAATGTTTAAAATACAATTCTTATTTTTCTCTATTTTAAAAACTTTTATAAATAAATTATAAATCAATAAATTATAAATCTATTAGTGACATAAATTTAAAAAATATCAAACTAAGATTTAAAAGCAAAAATTTAACTTTTCTTCATAAAAAAATTCTTTTAATTAACTCATTTAATATTAACTTAAATGAAAAAATACTTTAAAAATATTTAAAAAATATATACAATAAAAATTTATCAATAATAATAGTAAAATATTTAAAGTAATAATAATAAATTTATTACTAATAATCAATTAACAAATGTATTTATAATAAATAAAATCAAAATATAATAAAATTTGTAATATAACATGATAAAATGTTATTTAATAAATTAAGTTATTATTAATTTTATATTAAAATTAATTAAATTAATAAAAGTATTTTAGAATTATTATATAAATTTAAATTTTATTTTTATTAATTTAATATATACATATATATACTTTCTAAATTATTTTTTGAATGATTTTAAGTATATTTTAAAAAATCACAATGGAAATTAAAAAAAAAAAACTAATTCTGATTAGTTTTTTTACCATCTTAAATAAAATATAAATATAAAATATATAAATATAAAATATATAAATATAAAATATATTTATATTTTGATATATTTATATATTTATATATTTATACATTTATATATTTGTATTTATATATTTATATATTTATATATTTATATATTTATATATTTATATATTTATATATTTATATATTTGTATATTTGTATATTTGTATATTTATATATTTATATATTTATATATTTATATATTTATATATTTATATATTTATATATTTATATATTTATATATTTATATATTTATATATTTATATATTTATATATTTATATATTTATATATTTATATATTTATATATTTATATATTTATATATTTATATATTTATATATTTATATATTTATATATTTATATATTTATATATTTATATATTTATATATTTATATATTTATATATTTATATATTTATATATTTATATATTTATATATTTATATATTTATATATTTATATATATATTTTATATTTTTATATTTTTATATATTTATATATTTATACTTATATATTTATATATTTATACTTATATATTTATATATTTATATTTTTTCCCAGTATTTTATATACTTTGATGTTATAAAAATTTTTATCTTCTTTGATTTTCAAAGTATCACGATTGGTATCAGAGCCAGAGTGCTCTGAATAGAATTATATTTGGTTTTCTTGTGGGGGGGAATAGTATACATAAACTCATAACTCAAAAATAGTATATTGGCTGGAAAAGTGGAGGACCTCTGTTGGTTTCATACCTAATTACAGAGCGAGGCCTTTTACGCCTATTCTCTGCAGACTCCCTTTACAGGGATAAGTTGTAACAACGCCACGTACTATTTTGAAAAATTTTGAAAATTATTTTTATCATGGCTAATCAAAATCAAAACCAGAATGAAGAGTTCATTCCAATGGAAGGAGCACTTCCAGGCTTAGGATTTATAGTAAGACCTCTAAATCCCCCAGGTATAAGCCCTAGTTCTAGTCCAAACCCAGCAATAGAACTGACTAAGCAAATCAAAAAACTTAAGAGAAAACTAGCTAGACATATAGCTCAAAAAGAAAGATTAACAATAGAAAATCCAGTTAACTATGCTTGGAGCATAGTTTGGTATAGAAGTAATATTAAGTATCTTGAAGGAAAGTTGAAGGATCTAGGTCACTTTGTTGCCTAGTTTAAACTATTAGGTGTTTAGATCTGTATCTTAACCCTAAATCCTTAAAGTTTAAGGGTCTTTGGGACTCTTAACTTAATCTTAGGAATCCGTGTAGCACTGAGAGGTGCTTATACGTTGGTCAGCCCTTAGATCTAGTGGTCCCGGCAGTAAAACCCAGGAGGGGTAGTGAGTCCGTTGGTCAGCTAGATAGGCCGAGAGGCAAAGAGGTGGTCCCGTAGCATGGAAACCAGAGAGAGAGTTAGGATGCCAAATATTCTTAGATCTTTAAGTGATTTAAGATTAAGAAACAGAGATAAACAAATAGTAGTTAAAACACCGCAACAAGAAGCCTCGTCTTCTTCAAGCTCTTCAGAAAATAAAGAAAAAGAATTACAAATAGCAGAAATAGAAAATTCTTTACATAACTGGTCAATACCTATAGTTAAAAAATGCGAAGTTTATAAACAACATAAATTTTGGTCAACAACCTTAGATGAAGTCCATATAATAGAATATAGTTATCCGGGAACTAGGAATAATAAAATTATAAATATTCTAGAACAATCTGTATTAGATCAACATATAAAAGATGGTTATAATTTTATCCATTTAGGATTAATACAAGTCGCAGACAAAACCCAATTATAGGATAGGAATCAATAGTCCAATATTAATGCTATTAAGAGATATAAGACTTAAAAAATTTAATGATTCAGGTAATTGCTATTTTAGAAAGTAATTTACATGATGGCCCCGCCTTTTTTAACTCGTTATCCTAATTTTTCAATGAACATTAAAAATGATAAAACTAGTAATGCAATAAAATTATATGTACAAATTCCCGAAGAAATTGTAGATGAAGAATCGGTCCAATACGAGATAATTTATAGAGTCTATTACAAGGTAACTAGAATAGATTATAATTACAAAGCTTTGAGATCCTCTCCAAAAGATGAAACTATACTAGTAGAAGCTAATCTTAGAAAATCTTCAGTACAAATTCCTAAAAGACTAAGTCATGAAGAAGTAATAAGTAAAATTCTGGAAGAATGGAAACTAGAAGATATCATAGAAGAACCAAAAATTTATAATACACAGATAAGAGAGATAATTCAAGATGGAACTGATATTAGGTTAAAAATGAATAGATCATTATCTTTTAAAAATAAAGAACCTCAAATGATATATAAAGGTCAATCATCAAGACATTCTGTTGATGGATCAACAATAAATTTAGATTTAAGAGGATTAGATAATATTACTCCTAGAGTATCTAAACCTGTGTATGAAGAGTCAAGAGAACCAGGATCCCCTCAATACTCTCCAACAGACCTCGCAAATATTAAGTACATTACAAAGAGAAGCTACTTTTATTATAGATAAAATTTGGATTAGAGAAGATTTTAATGCAGAATATAATAAATTAAATAGGGAATGGTATTTTAAAACATTTACTAAACAACAAACAGAAG